TGTGAGCACCTCTGAGAGAAAGCCGTCTTTGTTAACCGGCCCGATGCCAGACTGTCCAGTTTCTCCCCGTATGAGTCTGGGTCCCCAGAGTCTCGCCCAGAACTGGAGTCCAGAGCAGTCAGGAGCTTGTATCTCCCTCCTGATTGAAAAAGACAACAGCGTACCCAGTTGCCATCCCATTTCCACGCGTGCCTCCATACCTCCACACTTCCACACCTCCTCCCAGTCTCAATGAGCTTTTCTCTTTCCTTCTAGTTGTATAAATTCCATTCAGCCAGCCTTCCTGTGGTTCTGGATGATATCCATTTTGTCTTTTAGTTGTAGTTTTGATGTGGTTGTGCGAGGCAGCAAGTTCAGGTGTTTACCTATGCCACCATCTTGGTTTCTCCTAAATTATTCTTATTGCAATTATTCTTATTGGCTTAACTTCTTTTCTCCTAAGTCTTGGGGGCTGTCCTTCAGGAGAAAACAGGAGGTGGTTTTTGTGTCAAATAGAAATCTAAGCTTTTGCCATGTTTCATTGCAAATCTGTGCTCTGAGTGGGAGAGACTAGAAAGGAGTTTTTTAGTTTGATCAGGAGAAAAGAAAGGTGGCACATTGGCCATAGAGTTGTGGTTCTCAATCTTTGGGCTACACTTAGGTGGGGCCAAGATCTAGTGAGTTATGCACCCCATTCATTTCTACCTCTTAGGGGAATTCCATTTTGTATTCAGCCAGAGCTTTGCATCACTGCAAAGCATTGTGCAGCAGCCAGACTTCTTAGCATAAAGTAGAATTAGAGTTTTCAGTAAATTTTAATAACATATTCAGGAATATAAAATTTCAGCAAGCTTTAACAACATACTCACACTTAAAGTGACAGTTAAATTAACCTCTGCCATATATAAAAATCATAGTCTATGAGATTGCCTGTATGACCCTCTAAAACCAGGGAAAGAATATGCATTTTGAGATCAGTTTACAGCCCATAAAGGACTGCAGCTCATACTTTGAGAATCACCACAATGGAGAGTGGTTCTCAGTTGTGGTGAAGAAGAAAGATGTCAGAAAACCTGAAATCTAGACTCTGTCCCTTACTAAGCATGTAATTTGGCCAAGTTCCTTAAGTTCACTGAGCTTCATTTGCCTCCTTTATAAAACAAGGGTGATATCTTCTGTATTGGGAGGTTGTCAGATTAAATGAAAGGGTGTATAGAAAGCATTCTCTAAATTAGAAAACCTAGGTGTAATTATTAGAATATGTATTAGGGTAAGATGCAGAGAATAGTTTTTACTTGAAGGATGTAATTTCACTAAGTACAGAGCTCTCCAGGGCAGGGCTGTAGGGCAAGGTTGCTGAGAGAGGACAGAATCCTCTTCTTGGGTGTTTGAGATGAGAGTGTCCATTTTTAGGGCTGTGGGTGAGGACTGGAATCCAGGTTTCTGTCTCCTTTAGTCTTCCTCTAGGTCAGTGGTCGGCAAACGGCAGCTCGCAAGCCACATGAGGCTCTTTGGCCCCTTGAGTGTGGCTCTCCCACAAAATACTGGCTCTTCCACAAAATACCGACTTCTGCGCATGGGCAACAAAGTTTCAATCGCACTGTACGTGCGCGCCCGCACGTGGTATTTTGTGGAAGAGCCACATTCAAGGGGCCAAAGAGCTGCATGTGGCTCGCGAGCCGCAGTTTGCCGACCATGGCTCTAGGTCATGTGTGACCTCTATTCCATTCTCTAATCCAAAAGCCAAACTTCTTACAGTGGTCTACAAGCCACCCTCTCCCTACTTCCATTACCAACTTGACCTCCTTTCAAATCCTCTCCCTGTTACTCACTTTCCTCCAGCCACACAGGCCTCCTTATTATCCTTCACACACTCCAGGCTGCACTTGCGTTCCCTCTGCCTGGAGATGCTCTTCTTCCAGGTATCTGCATGGCTCACCCTGTCACCTACTCAGGTCTCTGCTCAAATGTCACCTTTCTAAAGAGGCCTCTGTGATTCCTTTGTTAAAAATTGCACACTGCTCCCTCCCACTCTTTATCCCCCTTCCTTGCTTTATTTTCTTTTATGGGGCTTATTACCACATAAAATACTATATATGTTATTCATTTATTTAGTTTACCATCTTCCTTTTACCATTAGAATAACAGCTGCTATCACACACGAATTTCTGTCTGTTTTGTTCACGCTGATTCCCCAGCACCTAGAAGAGTGCCCGGCTTATAGTGACAGTGACTTGTCACAGGTTGTAGAGCTAGAGCTCAGGCTTGGCTCTGCAGGCTCTTAGCTTGCTTTCATTTCTATTTTCTTTGCCTTACACCACAATGGACTTGTCCTCTCATTCATTCATTCAACATTTATTTAGTGCTTTCAGTGTGTTTGTGTATATAGTAAGGAAAAAAATCACAGTCCTTACCCTCATGGAACAAGGAAAACAGAAGATAAAGGATCATACAAACTTTCAGGTGGGGGTGAGCACTATAAGAACTGCAGCAGGATAAGGGGGCTGCAGAATGATAGGGGATGCTTGAGAAAGGCCTTGCTAGAGGTGACATTTGACTAAAGACCTGGAGAAGGAGAAGGAGAAAGCTGTGTGAATCCCTGGGAGAAAATGGCTCCAGGCAGAAGCTCCATCCTGGAAGACCCATCCTGTGTGAGAGGGAATGCCAAAGATGGGAACGGGAATTTTAGAAATGAATTGATGAGCCAAAGAAAACACTGAGCTGGTGCATCCCACTATCCTTTCAAAGGAAAAGATGAGGGCCATCCAGAGAGGGCAGGATCCAGAATATCTTTGAATGAAATCACATGGATGATGCCAACTTTGACTTTGCAGAGCTATGTGATCTTAGGGGACCCCTCTTGATCAGTAAAAGTGCAGGTAATAGTATCTAATTCCCCATGATTATTGTGAGAAATGAATAAAATGCCATTCATTCAGTGGCTGGAGACATAGTTGACACTCAAAAGTGGTAGTTGATATGATGATAACATATAATAACCCATACTAATTTAAGTCCATCTAATGGCCCACTTTCATACAGATGTTCCTGATGACTACGGCCTCTTTCTAAGTTCCTGTCATTGTCATGGTCCTTAGCAAACATTTATATTGTGGTATTTATTCCATGGTGTTTTGCCCTGTTCTCTGGTTCAGTTTTATGAAGTTAAATGGTGGCTAAAAAAGAAGGCACTATTGAAATATATTCTGGATCCTGCCCTCTCTGGATGCCCCTCATCTTCTCATTTCAAAAGATGGTGGGATGCACCAGCTCAGTGTTTCCCACACTTTAATTAATCACATCTTTTTTTTTGTCACACCCATCTGTTGTATAATTTGTTTAATAGTTTTCTTTTAATTTATTCACTTTTTAACATCAAATATAATTAAAAGGAAACTAAATCCTATGGGTTTAATAACCTACTGGCACTATTTTGATACCCATTAAAAGACAGTGCAATTAAAATGAAAAGAAAGTCTATCTATGTACCATCTGAAACCATGTGACATACATGCACACTTAGGGAAACACTGGATCAAGTAAGTCAGTAAACAGAAGAATGTAAATTCATTCAGAAGGTCTTGATGAAAAAGGGAGATGAGGGAAATTAGTCACTAACTTTGCTGGGAGTGTGGATTACATTATTATTTCAGTGACTTTATTAAAGTCAATAAGACCTAAAAGCAAGGGCCTGAATTAGTTGAATTTTCAAAATATTTTTTAAAAACCTGAATTTCTCTGCTCTGATTCTGCTAGCACAACTTTGGAGTTATTTCTCTTTTTGGATACAAAGCTCCTGTCCTATAGTGTGTGACATCTGGGAATGTGTAGCCTGTACTCCCTCTTTTTCCTTCCTCGGCCCTCAATTCTATATCTTCTTCACTTCATATACCCCGTACTGTCCTGTCTGAGAGGAGCCCATCCCATTACACTCTTCCACCTCTCTAGAGCCTTCTCTTACCTTGGAAAACATAGTTGAATGCCAAGGCATCAGGCCAGGACACGCTGTTACTTTGCCTGTAGCTAGCGTAGCAGATTTGGGACCACTGACCCTATTGCTAGACTTCCCAAGGATCTTTGAAATGGGGTTTTGCATTTGCTTTTTACATTTTCTAGCTTAATACTAATATCTACTATCTAACTGGAAGCTAGATATTAAACAGCCAAATGGATACTGCTGTCTTTTTTTTAAAGTGACATTTAAGTGGCAGTTGAATTCAAATGTTACTTAAATGACACAAAAAGATGCCTTCTATGTTGAGTACAATCCTCTGACAAGTTTAGCACTGATTGCTTTATAACAGTTAATTAGTGAGTGGAACCAAACCCTCTGAGTGAGGGAGATGAACGCCACGAGCCCTCAGGGAACTACTCCTGGCGGTGTCCATAGACGTTAAAGCATTTCTTAGTTGGAAACATTACACATTCACTTTGTTCTGCATGGAATCTGGTCTCACTGGGAGCCAGAATGTTCCAGCTTCCTCACTCATCACTTAGCTTCCTTTTCAGCCCTAACAATTGGAAATGGATGTCTGGCACCAGTTCCTTTCTCCTGAAGAAAAATGTGGCAACATCAGTGACCACTTACTGGACTTGCCGTCTATCCTCAGGAGGCTGACTCAGTTCTGAGCTCTCCCAAGAGCATATGTTTGGCCTAAGGGATTGTTTATATCGGCAGCCACATTGATAGAATTTCCTAGACTCAGATCAACCTTGTTTCTGATCAGTTCTGACTCGACTCAGGAACTCGAAAAAATGCCTCATAGTCTCTATAGCCAGGGATTGAGCAGAATTTTCTATTTCCTCTGAGCTATGTGGGGGTCTTCCACAGCCCCAAAGTCTATTTTTTTTAAAAAGACAACCCCCATCTCAGTTCCTATGCAGGGGATTAACCATTTTCCCCCAATCCTCCTTTACCCTATATTGGTAGCTATTGCTGCCCATTTCACATTTTCTATTATTTTTGCCTCCTTAGATGGAGGATGCCTTAACCTCAAAGAGCAGACAATTGAGTTACTTACTTGGTTCCACGATTACACGGACTCCTTTTCCAAAGATGAGTTTGTCTGACACAGCACTTGAGGGCTTTCCCAATACCTCAGCAGTGCCCCCACCACTCTTCTTCCTATTAACTATAGGACTGGAGGATCTTTAGGGCTTGGCTTTTAGAAAGATGGCAATTGTCTATTATCCAACTCATTCATGGTGATTTAATCAATTGCCAATAGGGGTGAGTTTGCTTTTGGGAGTGTTTTGTCTGAGGAGTCGGTAGCAGCACATATTCCTAGGCTAAGATTTCCAGGGCAGGACATGAAGTTCTCTGAATGTTGCTTTCAATTGTTTTAAATTGTCCTCATTTCCTAGACCCTCACCTAACTCTCAGTCTTGGAAAACTAGCCTCACCAAGTGGATGGGTCTTGGATCCATGACTATTCCAGAGTCAAGGCCTCCACAGTCACCAGTGCTGCTTAAAGGGCAGAAAACGTGTGGCATCACAAGAGGAGACAGGCTGTGTGCAGCACTGATCAGGAACCAGTGATTTACAGTGCAGTCACAGTTAGCATGAGCAGCTATGGCCGGTGATTGCCGAAAAACAAATCAATCTCTGCTGAAATTCATCTTCTCAAACTGCAAAGCAAAGCACTGGGCAAATCTCTCTAGGGATCTGGGTTCAGAAATTCCCTATGAGATGGCTCATGTAATTCTCTTGTGCAATAGAATCAACACAAAACCAAGACAAGGATATTTTTGAAAGAAATACCTTTTTGTATTCCCCAAACATGTCTGTAAGAACATATTGAAAAGCCAGTTTCATCTCATCGAGAACAGCAGCGAGTGAGCGGCCAGGTGCTGGGGGTCACTTCTCTTGGCCCGGTCAACTTCCTGGCATCCCTCTGAGTCACTGAGCAAGGAGGGGTGGCTACTTGCTGTGTTCACCCTCTGGGGCAAGGTAGGCAGGCTGAGGCTTTCCCGGGGAAGTGCCACCTTTGCCCCTGCAGTTTTTGTACAGGTCTCTGCGGGTTTTGTAGCACTGTGCGTATCCCCCCAATTCACAGTGTTACAGAGCTTTACAAAAACCTCCCTGGGTTTCACCCCCGCGTGAACTCTGAGAACCCCTGGGGCCGGATGTTTTCTCCAAGCCAAGCTCCAGCAAGATCAAAGGGTTTGGCAGTTGGCTCAGGGCAGGCTCGCCCAGGTGCTTCTGTCTGAGGGTCTTCTGCCCCACTGGTTACATCTGCCCTGGAGTTTGCAACTGGAATGGACTTTCAGAAACCATCACGTCCACTCCCATCTGTGCTTTCTGGCCAGTTTTCTTTCAGATGGTTTCCCACGGAAGACTTTGTCAGCTACCTGAATGTCTCAAGTGGATTCTGCATGCTGTGGGCTAGGTAGAAAATGTGTGTGATCAATGTAATGTCTCCTGTCACCTGCTAAGATCTGGGTTACCTCGGCTTGCCCCTGCTTTACACCTGAATAGTGTTAAATAGTTTACAAAAGGCTTTCACATAAATTTAAAATTTTATCCTCTCCATTGACTCTCTGGTTGCTAAATTCATGGCCAGAAGCCCATATGGTGCTTTGTACGATTTAGAAAAGGCAACCCCACTGGGTGCATGCGGAGGCAGCAGCTTGGGAAACAGATGGTACCTTTGTGTGCTTTATAAAAGGTTTCCCTTTCTCCAGTTCACGCAGCTCCACAGACAGGGCCTTTAGCCCCACTTGTCCCCTTGGCCAAGTGCCCTTGTGCAAGGCACAACTGTGGAACTAGCAGTGTCTCTGTCCAAATTCAATTGATATTTTTAATTTATAGTCTTGTTTAACCCATGCTTTTTGACATAGTTGCTCCCCATTTGAAAACTCTTCTCTGGGGCTCTCAAGACATTGGTCTTGGTTCACCTTTGATCTCTGTGTCTATCAGTATGAAAATAAAGCGATACACTAGGCTTATCAAAAGTGTCCTTATTCAAAGTGAACCATTAAAGGGGAGTGTGAATTTTGTTGTTGCTATCAAAAGGGAGCAGGATTAAGAAAGGTTGATCTTCAGACTTTCCCTGGAGGATCTTATCCAAATCCATGGCTTAATCCCAATTTTACTTATAATCTTTGTGACAGCTCCTTCTTGCCCTGCATATAACTGTATGCCTGCCCCATATACAGAGCCAAACACTTTTCTGCTTTGTAAACCCCCCAAAAAACAAATAGGAAACTAGGGAATGAAGAACTGTTATGGCCTCAGTAACCAAGTAACAGGATGGTTTAAGGCAGAGAGCAGGAAATTGTGTGTCATGGGGAGGGCCAGATGAGAATAAAGAATGGTAATTTCTTGAGTATAACTGTTATAAGGTGCTAGTCTTTGATGTGGCAAAAGGTTGGTGGTCACTGTGTTGAATAATAGATTAAGCTTCTGATTAACCCCTGTGAGACTCATTGACCTCCTGGTGCTGCTGTGCAGACTTTCCCAAGCAGCCATCAGAAACTGGTTTGAATAGAACTAGTTATAGGAAACAAAAAGTTGGGAATGAAAAGGCAATTAAAATCTCAAGTTATATCAAAATTTAAACTATGCAACCTTGTGAGTCTGGGACAGTGACTTTTACAATCCTGTGGCTATGGCAGAGAGTTTTGGGGTGATGAGTCCCGATGAGAATGCAGTTGCTGCGGTTCCCAACATTCCACTCACTCTCTGCAACAGGAGTGTACATCCATGTACCACATGACTTTGCAGGGCCTCCTAGGCCAAGTGCACATCTGACTCTATCGACTTCGGGGGTTGGCCATGCTTTGGTCCATAGAATATGAGTAGAAGTAACAGTGTGCCAGTTCCAAACTGTGGCTCCAAGACACATCACATCATGGATTTCCACCAGCACTCTTGAACCCCCACCTTCTGAGAGGAGAAGAGTATACTCCAGGGAGTCGTTGCTGCTTCAGCCTGGTTCTTAGAATGTAGGGCAGACTTGAATCTAACCCACATCTTGAAGCCAAGTCAAGCTGGCCTGCAGACCAGTGAGCAAACAACAACAACAACAGCAACAAACAACAAAAACCATGTTTGTTGTTCTAAGCAACTGATATTTTGGGATTGTTTGCTATAGATCATAATCAGAGCAGAAATAGCTGATTAATACAGAGGCTAAGCTAAACCTTGGTGGGATTCCAACTATGAAGTTACATGCTTAAAATTGTTGGTGGCTCCCCATCATCTTCAGAATAAAATGATATGGAACACAGGCTTTTGCTTACCCTCCTCAGGCCTGTATTTTGTACCTTTCTACCTGCTCCCTTAAACTCAGCTGCATTGAACTGCTTGCTTCCTGAAAGCTCCATGTTCTTTCATACCTCTTTGCCTTTCTCATGTGATTGCTTTTACCTTACATGCTCTTTCCTTCTTCCATTCACAAATTTGGTCCTTAACCCATCTCCTTAGATCCTATTCTCTTTCTGGTCTTAGATTAGCTATTGATTTCCTGGAAAGCCCTAACTGAAGGCTGACGACTGGATTGGGTTAAATGCTCACCCCTTCCCTGAATTTTCATGACATTCGGTGCTTATTTCCATCATCGCACTCAAAGCCCTTTTTTTCTTCTTCATAAGTTAGACACCCTTGAGGGAAGGGGTTTTTCTTGTTCATTTCTGTATACCTTGTGCCAGCACAGTGCCTGGCTTGATGAATGCTCAGAAAGTGTCTTAAAAAGGATGTATCCCATGTTCAGAGAGGATAAGCGAGGAAGTGACAGAGTAATGGCCAGAACCCACACAAAACCACCTCCTAGTGCCCAGCTCTCTTTCTGGCACCAGGCTGTTTTATGGAATACTACCTTCATATGTTTGCCAGAGCATAGCAACATTAGTGGTAAACAAATTGATTTTTAACATTAGCCTGACTTAAGTATCATTAGGAGGATGAATTTGTTGTGATTTGCTTCACACAATGAAAGACATTCTAAAACCAAATAGAAATGAGTTTCACATTGTCTTCATATTTGGAGTATTCAGATCACATTCTTTTCCACCAACACGAGTAATCAAGGATCAGTTGTTCCTCTGGAGAGGACTCCCAGAATGTCACAGCTGGGAGAGACTTCAAGGATCATATATTCACTCCCTTGGGTGTTCAGATGAAAGAGTGTAGAAAGGTCCAGAGAAGTTTCACAACTTGGCCAAGGCAACAAAGTTCAAAAGAAATCAAATATTCCAATTCCTAGGTCAGTTATATATTTTAGTATATTAGGTAAATACCCAGTCTTCTTTGGTCTTTTATTCTGGCATTCATTATCTGAAAGTGTTTCTGGGTATCCTCTTAGTCCTTCAGCTGATCTCCTTCCCTGAAGTGGCCATAGAATGGCCCCAGGTGACCTGGCATTTTCTTTGTCTCTGTGACTTTTCAATGTTGTATGAGATACTTTTCTGTGTGAAAGAGTATGGTTGGCAGGCACAGGGTGGGGATATCCTGAAGTTCGGCTCTTCCTGGAAGGAACCAGGCCATGTTCTCAGTGCCTGGCAAGCTCTTCTTCAATGAAGAACAGAAGAAAGGAACAGTGTATGGGGACTAGGTTTTCCATGGTAATTATCCAGTCTTGGCTGGGACCAAGCCTCATGCTCAGAGACTCAAAGTACTTTGTGAAAGTTTATGGGAGACCAACCTAAGAAATAAAATAAATATTAGACAGGAATGTCCTCCAGGGATATGGACTTTGAACTAGCTTTATTTATCTCCACCTCCTGCTCCCAGTGTTGACATGTGCTCTTTGAGGGTTATAGTCAAACTGCAGTATATTCAAAAGAGAATACCAGGCTATTGAAGAGACTTCAAACCATGTACAAGGAAGAACAGCTAAAAAAACATGGGGGAAGTACACCAAAGGAAGGGGTATCTCTAAGAGTGTTTGATCACAGTCTTTGGATATCTGTAGGGAAAGAGCTGGCTTATTAAATCATGTCTGTTAATGCATTTTATCTATTGCAATGTGTTGGTTTTGTTGAAGTACTGTATCTGCAGATATATAGTTTGAAAAGAGAGGTTAGTTGCAATGTGGAATCTGAAACTATGTTAATGAACTTTCCATAGTCATTTAGGTTAAAAT